AGTTAATTATCATTATTATTAATTAATTTATTATTATTATTATTATTGTTAGGTCGTTGTGAATGAGGATATGTCTGGTAATGTCACTCAATTACAAAATGAAATTAAAAAATTGAAACAATTACTATCGACCAATCAGAATACAGGTATCAATATTAATTAATTATTAATAGTTAATTGATTATTAGTGGGTGGAGCTGGTGGGTGTGGTCAAGGCGATTCTAAAGAAATGTTATTAACGTGTATCAGAGACAAGGAGAGACTGGAGGAAGAGAAAATGGTATTATTATTATTAATTAGTGGGTGTGGCTCAATTGCTATACAGTTTTTATTAGAAAAAGTTGACAAGTTACAAGAATTGAATAAAAGACGTGAGAAATCGCTACAGGTAAGGGGCGGGGCCAAGAAAAAGTGATTTAATATTGATTTATTTATTTTTAGTCCATTAAGATGATTCTCAAGTTAAGAGATTCTCATATTTCTAAATTAGAGTCGAAGGCTCCACCCACAACTGATGACATCATAGTGAGTCATAATGACATTACCAATTAATCAGTGTTGCCGTAGAAACGACAACGAGAAGAAATCAAAGAATTGAATCGCTGCATTGATCATAATCCAATGGTCACTAAATTTGCGGCTGAAAATATTGAACTAAGAGGTAAAAATATTAACTTCCAATGGATGATAATTTTTGTACTTTTCACCTTAAAATTTATGCTCTGTACAGTGTTAATTAATTAATTATTTAATTTATTATTATTATTAGGTGAGGTTAAGCGGCTCCAGTCCCTATCAGTTGGTGATGGGTTGTGGGCGGAGCTAACTCAGTTGAAGACCTATACTCGACAGTTGGAGAAGCAGTTGAGTGGGTGGGTCAAAGAGGAGGCGGGGTCTTCTGTTGCCATGGAAACCAGTAAACTCAATTGTGAAATTGAGAAGTTGCATAATCGCTGCCAAAAACTGCAGACTGAAGTTACCATGGTAACAATTAATTAATTGATCAATTAGTTAATTAGCTGTTTATTAACAGGCTCAGGATCAGTTAAATTTGGAAAGAGAAGAGAACAAAGTTAAAATATTTTCTCTTGAAACTTCATTGAAGACAGCAAACAAGAAAGTTAAAGATTTACAAGTGAGAGACAATACAGCAACACATCTTAACACCTTACCAATAACTACTGGCTATCATGCTCCTTTCCCCCTATCACCAGTACTGCTGCTTATTTGCTAATAACAATCAAATTATGCTGTCCAAATGCTGCTCTACCAAAGGCATCAAATAAGACCAAAGGACCCTGTACTATAGTGCAGGG